TCACCTCCGACACCTGGACCACCAGTACCAGCTTTACCATGCTGATCTTGATCACCTCGAGTATTTAGCGGCAATCCTGGATAGTATCCTTCAAAAACACTCCCATTAACAGCAAGACGTTCATCATTAAAAAACGCCATCACCGCCTTTGGTTGTCCAGCAGTAGCAACAGCAGCAGCAGCCGCCATGGTATACCCGCAGGCACAGCACAGCACAACGGCCAACACACACATCACACGGCTCATCATCATCATGAGATAGAGACAATAGTTTGGTTTGCGTAAAAACACTGATCTAGAAAGAAAGACAATCAAAGAGAAAAAAGTAAATAAATGAAGTATCAAACATGTTAGGACACACCAATCGATTACCACTATGGAAACTCACATCGTGGAAGTAAAACCTACCAGTTAAAGAATGCAATACAGCTCAATAACCTCAGTAAGAGTAAAAACAAAAACAAAAGAAGCCAACACTCACAAATATCTCAAAAAGGCTCAACCACCCAGCAAAATCATCAAGCAAACAAAGAAACATTAACCATTAGCCCAATTTATCCAGTAAACACAACAAATATAAACCAACCATGGGTGTAAGTCTATATATCTGTATGTATACGCAATTATAAATATAAATTCATCTGTTATTATTATTTCTTTTTCCCTCTGCAAAAGGCAGTTCATTATCATCATCATCATCACAGTGCAAGCCCAGGTGCACACACAGAGAGAGAGTCTCCAAGAACACACACACACACAATGGAGTAGCAATAATAATAATTATTATAGGATAAACACACAAAAAGCAAAAACAGACACAAAACACATTAACATTAAGAAACAAAAAAAGAACAAAAATTCCCAACAGGTAGAAGAATAGTTAGACTGTAGGGAATGCATGCAAAAAAAGAAAAGAAAACAAAGGATGACCTGAGTCACACCACCACCACCATTACAATCAGCACACAAGAATACAGGCCAGTGTAAACACAATCAGTAGTGGT